TGTTTCTTGAACAGCTCTCTTACGCAATCTTCCCTTTTGAATCTTTTCTGTTTCATGGTCCTAGGTCTTTGGTACATAAAGAAAACAGAAATGCTTTTTACTGTGCTGAAAATCTCATAATGCATCCTCCCCTAGCAAAACCAAACAAGCGAAGAGTTCTATCTGGTTATGGGTCCAGGGTGGTCCCCACATACCTATGGGTATTTGGTCTTATGGTATTTGCAAATCTGTTTTCGGAAATATACTTCAATTCGGTGTTTGACTACAGACCCCACTGATGCCTCATTGGGTTGTCTGTTGAACTGGAATCGTCTTCATTGGCTCGGTCATGGGCTTTGCGTGCTTGCCAGCCAGCTGTCTCGATATGTATTTTTTCAATGCTACATCTAATTCGTGAAATCTTGAGCTGCTCACTCGATAATATGGCAAAACAGCATGGAGAAACACATCGGAAGACTGATTTGGATTGGTGTTCGTCATATTCGCCGAGAGCTCCTCGGAACCTTCTAACTATGTAGTTGTGTTCATCAGTTGTGACTAGATCATGGGGTTAGTGAAGCTCTTGCCTTTGTTTTCTCAACCTGGATTATTGACTATTCCATCTGACGATTCAAGCTCATGTTCATACAACTTGTGTTACTAGTATCATTATCGTTATTATTATACTTTGGTGCGCGGGTCATACTTGCCAACATGAACTTAACTTAACCGAACGCAGGCAGATTGTAGCGGCATTTAACCGAAATGCCTGCTTATTGCCTCCATCGTAACTGTGGCTCCACTCTTCTTCTTTTCCCAGTCCTTATCATCAGGGTTTTCGCTTGATATAGCTGCGAGGCACCCGCACGAAGTACTGGTATCGCTTACATGAGTGCAACCTAGCTATGACTTATTGGTGATTATATATATATATATATATATATATATATATATATATATATATATATATATACTCACTATCTGTGTACAGATATTGTGCTATCGAAACTATGGCGGAATAAGAAAACATGATTAGAGTAAAAGAGGATGGAAAACAAGCAGTTTTTCTTCATTTTTACACTCATTGTTTTTGATTTTTTACTGGGGACGGAAGGGGAATCACCACAACAAGCAGGGATACACGATCGCTACTGAGTTCGGTTTTGAGCCATGACTTCCAAGGTTTCCGACCAACGGCACTCAGCATTTTTAGCACCCCTTCCAGGGAGTCAAGAAGAGCCAACCGAGGCCAGCTCTTTTCTCAAGTTTTTCATCCTGCTTCTCCAACTTACAGGCTGTCCACCACGCCACCTCCTGCAGCCCTATCCAGCGATCACGAAAAAAGTACGACGTGGAACACGCAGTAACTGTTTAAGCCATCTTAGTTGGCGCAGCGAGACAAGCGCCTCGAGGGAGTGGCTGCCTCCACACAGGACACGTTGTCTGACTTCAACCTTGCTTACGTGGTGCAGCCACCACACACGGGCGATGGGCCGTAATCAACGGTTCTCAATGACATACAGTCGGTGCAGGTCATCGGTTTGAGCAGGCCGTCTTGCAACCGTGCAACAGTACAGCGCGGACGGTCACACTATTAACCCGTCCTTTGGTGTATAGCCAGATGTCATAGCGACACCATAAACGTCCCAGCCTGGAGAAGGGGAGATGAACTCTTGAGTTGCGCATTGAAATCTCGTTTCCAAAAGCCGCATCAGCAGCGATATATATATATATATATATATATATATACATATATATATATATATTGCAACAGTCTATGAATAGACATTGCACCATCGGAAACCATGGAACACAAAACAAGGTACAGAAATAGTAAAAGAAAACACAACACAACACAACAATGTCCACGATTTCGTCAGAGGGCGAAATACTACCCGGTTGCCCAGGCCGAAGTACGGTGTTGACTTAGGGGACACCACCCCGAGCCTTTGGCTGAATAGCCTGTCCGCAAGGCAGCGGTGCGAATTCAGGGACTCGCGCCCATTGAGAGCCGGTGACTGATTGATCAGTTCATACGCCTTTCGTTTGTTCCTTTGCCAAACTGGGGCCCAATGCTCCCCGAAATTACAGCATCAACTTGCTGGAATACAATGCTTCGCCAGGATGAAGCAAGGGGCAGTGACTTTATTTAGTGGCGAGTCACGTCCGCCACGTCACAGTGTTATTAAACGGACATATGTGGCTTTTTATAGGGAGAACGCTTGCCAGACGAAAACCCGCCACGTCCTGGAACACTGCCGCCGAACCATTTGCTGGAACGGGAAAATCCCGAACCACCCAGCTGGCACCACGAGGAGGTTGTTCGGCAAGCCAGCCAGCGATACAACTTCACAGGTAGACAAAACTCTGTACAACATCCAGCGTCTCACCATCGATGGTGAGTGCAAGTAATGGGCGTCTGCCAGTCTTGAAAGAACGCTTTGCACTTAAATGACGAAAAGTGCACGCCACATTTCGATGCTTCAGTTGCCATGCGGTAAAGTGCAAGTTGAACGGTCTTCAGACCGTCATCCAACAAGACGATATCCTCAGCGTAATTCAATTCAACCACCCGACTACCTGGGATGAGCTCAATGCCAGCGTTCAGCAAGTCTAATAGAGCATTTTGAGGCCATCTTCAATGGCAAAATTGAAGAGAAATAGAGAGATAAGCCATCCTTGTCGAACCCCGCCGGTGACAACAAAGGAAGGCAAAGGCTTGCCATAGGTCCTAACTCTACCCGAGGTCAGACTTTACTGAGCACGCAGTACGGAAACGAACTTCCCCGGAATGCCATTCCTCAGTAGACATTGCCACAATGCAGACCTGTCTACAGAATCAAAAGCAGCACGGATAGCCAGTAACACTACAATCCTTGGCTTTTGGCACACATGGCAAAGCTCGATCATCTGGCGGAGTGTAAAAATCTGATCGACAATCGCGACCAAGGCGGAATTAGGCCTGTTCTTCTCGCTGTACCGATTCGCGCATTGGGGATAGCCTGCGAATAATGGTGGGCACCAGATTCTTGCAAACGATCGGAACCCAACTTATGCCTCTGTAATTAGAACGCCTTGTGCGCAGGTCCTTTTTGAAGCTGATGAGATCTATCGACTCACTCCAGGATGATGGAACCTCTTTTGCCCATCATTCTGCGAACAAAGCAGTGAGTTTTCGAACCAGCAATTGGCCCTCATCTTTACTTGAAGCAGGAGGTACATCATCAGGGCCTGATGCTTTATAACGTTTTAGGCAGCTGATTTTCCGGTGAGGGAGGATCAGAGGGCGGGGATAATCCACTCAGTACCATTGCGCGCCCCAGGGGAAACAGATAGAGCTGACAGCCAGGAATACTGCGCGCGAAATTGTTCATCCCATCACTCCAATCGTCATTGAAGATTAATGATTCGGAAGCCATCCTCTTCACAAATTGTTTCGCTTACTTCAGATCGGAAGCCTTTGGTGACTCGAATGAGGTGAAGCACTTTTCTGGTATTACCAGAGAGATTAGCAAGTTCTTTCTTTCAAGCACGTTCACACTACCAGGACTTATGGTCCTTCTATAAGCTCCTTCGCAATGCTCGATCCAGGGATCGGCGTTTCTCACTACACCTACTGTCGGCCGAGGTCAGGCGGCGTCTGTCTATCAGCGATAAAGAGGCAGTGGTGATCCAGCTTTTCGACGGGTGATAAGCAACTCCACGACTGGCAGAAATTAAGGCGTCTTTGATGCGTATCCATTGCACATTTAGGCTGTCGTTAGTGGATGAAGCAAGCTGTGTTGACAGAGAAGCCTGGTACTTGGCTAACGTCGTAGGATGTTGCAGATCTTCGACGTTCGATCGGTAGTTTGTACGTCTGGGTGTTCCTCCGAAACGCTTGCAAATCTTGGCGCGAACCAGCAGCGGCTGCTTCAGGGTTTCCGGAAAGGCGCAAATGATATTTGACATCAGGGCTTGCTGGAGACGTCGATGTGATGACGGTGGTGGCGTCTTGCAACTTGGTTTCCCAAAGGCAACAGATGTCCACTGTGAGTGTCTCAAGGGTGCGGGCCATGCATGTTGGTCGTCTGTTCTACATCAGAGTGCACACATTGAATGTTGCGCGGCAGAATGGAGAACCACCGAGGTGGGTTTCGGTGGAATGTGAAAATGTTGTGACCACCGGGCAAGGAGCACCAAACATTTGGCTCGGAACTCTGTCAGATGCGACCAGTGCGCTGTTGTTGACGATGATCGGGGAAGACATAGATGTAGTTAAGGAACGGGATGTGGGACAATCTGTGGGTGGATGCTGAGCAGCAAAGACAATATATCCACTAACCATAACAAGAGTGAAAGCAGTAGTATAATCCATGGTGGAGACATTTATAACAAACTGCATCAGATATATTCATCCAAACTCCGAATTAGATGTCAGGTACAAGAGATTCACACTGCTTCCCACGGTTCCAAGCGCGGCCGTTTTATCTTGCGCATTACTGGATCCTTTGGACGTGGTTTTCCTAGCCAACCTAACACTATACCAGTTCCGTCTGTTGTTCTTTTATATTACCTTTGATCCTTTCTTGTTCTTGTCCCTTTTTTACTCAGTCTCTGATATTTTAGGGGTTTACAACTCTGCATGTTTTCATTAGTTAGCTACAATTAGAAGTAATCACTCAGCTGGTATGCAGTTTTCGGACCGATTTGTTTTGAGCCCACGCCACCTGTTACACTGGTTGCTTTGTCAACCACAACTGCACTAGCAGACTTGGTGTTCGAGGTAAGTCATATTTTTCTTGATGGAAGTGATGCTGACTCTGGCATAGTTCTGTTTTGATCTACGTGATCAGGGCTCTCAATGCGCTTGTTTTGCGATGTGACATGTTTACTTGACAACATTTGTTCTTGATTTCATTATTGATCACGGTACCACGTAGTTCAGTGGAATCGGCCTCCACTTTATACCGTAATCTGGGGTTATGTTGTATATGAGTCTCATTTTCCTCCATCCTACCCGAAATATCTTCTACATTTCAGTGTCCTTATCAAAACTATGGTCAAATGTGATGCCACTTTTATTAGCTCCGCAGTCAGCTCAGACCATATTACTCAGCTGAACAGCTGGTTGGTTGATCAAGCTATCCACGTTCCAACAGGTTGGATCGAGGCGTGTGTTTCGTGGCTGGTCGATGAGCACGGAGGCCTCCATGCGTGTGCCGCGCTCACCAAGCCCGATTGGTGTCAGCTGATTTACGAGCAGTGGCTACATGCAGACTTGCATCAGCTAAGTTGTCCCGTATTGCCCACCTCCGATGGAGCTGGCCATGATACTTCAACAGGTAGTGGATCGACGGTAATGAAGCTGGACGGTGAACTTTGTTTGCAGGTACTACGTCCATATCACTTGCATAGTTTTGTTTGTTATTCAACTAAATTGTAATCAGTAATCATTGATCAGACAGCGGAAAATAACTTCGCTGTGCAATAGTTTGTTGTTGTTAGCCTGCCTTAGGTTGGGGCCCACGCTACCCACTTGGTTCGGAATAGTTCGGGGCATGATTTGCAACCGGTACAGACATAACGGTTACCATATTTTACCAGTTGAATAACTGGCCTGGACTTCGTGTGCTACTGGCTTATCAACCACAGTATTTCAAATCCTTTCAATTGCAGTGGCTTTCTTAACTCTTTTATTAATCGCATCTTTATCGACTTCATCATACTGCGCCCTGAAGCGGCTCCTTTCTTCATTCTCGCATGGCTTTGATGTGCTAGATTGGGTTTTAATAGATTGAATTTTGACATCCCATGCAGACTGCGCGTTTCAATTAGTGCTCTTTCCCGTGCAAATGTGTTTGCATCATAATTTCCTCGATTCATTCCTACCACCTCGTACCAAAAAGTTGACGTGTATCCTGCAGTGATTATTGTGACGAGTACCGAGTGCTATGCGATCCGATCATACTCGAGTGTATTATTCCGCCGGCAACGTCATATTACATCGATTGTTGTTGTTTCCTTCCCCTTTCTCCTTGGGCTTCATCTACGTCCTGTTATCTCCATCCGCTACACCTCCGTCTGCACGTGAGCGGTTAGGTATTGGTCGTAATAACCATTTAACAGGGCATACCCTGGGCGTATATTCTTTTTCTGTGAGGCCTTTCACACTCGGACTCTCCAGGTGCTCGCATTTCCCCATATTACGCAATTTGCTCGCCCCCACTCCCGATGCGCATATTGAGCACTAAGTGTCCAGTCTACTTGATTAGTAATCCATTGGCTAGAAACTCCTCTTCATTTTTTTGACTTCATCTATCTTCCTGTTGTGGTTGTGCACATACTCAGACCTAGCTATGGGCTTGTGACGCCGTTTCACCATAGTGGTGCCATGTTCCCTTGCGGGATTGAACGGTTGGTATCGAATGCTTGACTTTCATCCACTTAGATGCACTGGATGCGAATACCGATTACGTGTTAATTTGTCAGATACTATTGCCGTGACTATCAGTACCAGGAGGTCTGCAATCTTTGTCGACCAAACTGAAACGTCCACTCTTTGTAACAAATGCAACACTCCAAGCATTTCAATTCAGATGCGCTGAGTCCAGTTACCACAACTCACGCTGCCAAAATAACAATAAATAACAACGGTGAGAAGTTCAGCTTGACTGCAAATAGAATACAAAGAAGGTTGAATCAAGTGCGCAAAACTAGTCAGGATGGAATGAAAATTACTAGCCAGACGTAAGAAACCGAATACAGGATCGCCACTGACTGCGCGACTTTGCCATATCTGGTAGTATATCAAACCATTGGTGTAGATCATCTGAGGTCCCCGTGCACGACGACGGCATGCACAAGTTGAACCAAGTTTATCAGTCGACTTTTTTCATGCCTTTTATGCCACGTCTCTTCGACTGGCCACCTCGTCTTTTCGCCCAACTTGGTGCAGCCACAGTGTACACTGCATACCAAGGAATTCGGCCGGCAGAGGACAGGATTTAGACGACGTAAGCAGTTGAGCGTGAGCAGACACTCGAGTTAGGCACTAGAAGATTTTATGCTAAAGACCAACTGTCCCGGTGTTCCTACCAGATGTGAGCAATACTCTGCAAGCGGTGGCGATCAAGCACAGTCAGGCGTTTAATGTCTTCACTACGAACTGCCCAGGTTTCTGATCCATGAAGCAACACTGACCTTACTGCAGCGTTATACACCCTTCTTTTCACTGACAAGCTGCTATACATCTGCGTTCCAAACGTACTTGCATAATTGATGACATTACGAGGCTTGTGTTACACTGGCGAATGGTTGACATGTACCGATCTCAAGCACTTGCATTTCACTGCGGCCGATGTCACATCAAGTCTCCCGATCGCAGTCTCGTGTTTGCTGGATGGCATATTTACTACTGGATTACCAAGTTCTACTGACAATCCTTATCCTAACGAATCAAATTTATCTGATTGCATGAGATAATCACTTTATGTTTAGATTGCAACACGCGAGTTTTAGTCGGACCGCCGATAATTGAGACAGCGACAGCATCGGTTGTAAAGCGCATTACGTACAGCATGCAGGTTCAGTCTCATCGGCCGAAATGGCCGAGGATTGCTTCTGTGTTTAGAACGCACTTGTGTGTGATGCAATCATTCTGAGCAATCATTCTGCGTTTTATTTGATTCCAAAACAATCCTGGGTCCCGCTTATCTCTACCCCTATCCTCTAACTCTAGACTGACTTTGACTGTGCAATGTGTACGTGACCCAGCCAGCGCCATTTTTGGTCAACTTGCAGTCACAGATATCCTACGACCTTTTACGACCTCAGCATTGCAAATGACGGTCATCGCCGTAACAAGAGTAATTGGAAGCTGACCGCTGGCCTCATGGTCATATGATACAGCTTTCCTCGTTGCTCTGTCGCATCCACGAGCTTTCAATTCCGACCGTTTCGAGCAACGATGATCCGCTGAATTGCACATGCATACTTACTCTGAGCGATTGTGTTGCGGATGTGTGATAATATTACCTTTTCTACGATCCGAATACTTATCCCGTTAAACAAGTTTTCAATGGGAATCGTGGATCCTGCGTTCAACTGTTCGCCGAGCTTCGCAGTTGATATGCAGACGTTTCATCACCACACGAGGTGACTTCCTCAGTGCACTGCTGGGTCAAGCGTAATCCGCTGGCTTGGTTGTCCATTTGTGATTGATCGGCAAGGGAATCGTTGATTCCATTTGGATCACCTGGTTAAAGAGCTTTGGTCACCTTGATGTGGAATCAGCAGCTGCTTGTAGTCTAGACAACAGCACTATTTTAACGTCGTAGTTCCAAATAAGTTTGTGCGACCGGCTTAGTCTTCATTACTCACTGATGTTTACTTGGGATTCCCTCATTGCCTCTGTCCCTACCGCTTAATCAACCCCTTTTTTTCTCATTTCTCCTACGATAGGTTGTCGGCCTGTTCAACATTGGTGAGTCGTACTACAGTCAACTGCGACGGAGCGAGGGGAACCTGAGCGCCGATCTGCCTTTGTTAGACCATCCTGATACTGACGGTGACGGTGATCGGGACTACACCCGTATGACACAAGCATACAGCCAGTATGGTAACTCTTCCACAGGTGCGAACATCTTAACTCTTTGTACCTCTGTGACAAGTTTGTTTTCTCCTTCCGGATTCGTGTATTCCTCATCAAAAATGTGAGCTATGTCCCCTACGACGTGAACTTTGCTATAATGGCGCTATTTTTTCCGTTGGACCGTACACTTCGTGACTACCAAACCGCGTGATTGTCCTGCTTCTTATCGACAAAATCACCGTAATTCGTTTACCCGGTATATGGTTGTGAAAGTTGCATTCAGACTAATTGTCGCACACGAGCGCACACTTCAAGCTTCAAACCTATCGACCGTATAGTTCAGCACACCGCTGATTGGTCAAGCATTTGAGCTAGTCGTACGTGCCATTTCGCCGCCTTGATCATTAATCCTATCATGGGTTTCGCTATTTCGGTTCCGCTTAAGCTTTACTTCTACCATTCCAGCGAGTATTTGCTCCGAACTTTGACCGCTCACTGCCAATAAACTTTATGCGTTCGCTTGGATATCGGCTAACATAACTTTGTTGGATGATCAAATAATTTGTCAATTGAATGCCGATCATTTGACATATTTTAGCTCATATTTGTCATCTATGTCACTGCTACAATTGGTTGTGCACAACAGACGGAAGTCAAGCATGTCTTTTGTTCATATTTTCTGAATGCTCCACCCGGTAACGCAGTCTTGAGAGGCCATTGGGTCATCTGCTATCCACCGCATGCAATCATTACTCATCAACACGCCCCGTATATTTTATGACTTCATTTGTATATGATATTCTGCATATGGCTAAGCGCTCGATGAAAAGGTCGTTCAAACAAGACCCAAATTCGACCTAAGACCGTGGTTCGTATGCATCGAACCATCCAATCATGCTTATTTCCATTGGGCACTTTGTGAGCTACTCCCGTCAAATGATACAGAGGGTTGTGGTCAGGCAAACTCAGCGCCTTGGTCCTTGAAGATGATGGTTGAACTTCGGTGACACTCGTAGGTAACCTTTGCTGTGGACTGCTATTATGCTCCTGTTTCCTCATGGCCTTGCTTTTGAGGTACTACTTTTTGTTTGTGATCTACTAGGCACCGTGAACCAGGCTCGTGAAGCCGCATTGATGATGTTGCCTAGTGTGGCAACCAAACGTCTGCAACATCATCACTCAGCCTGGGGAACAACTAAAAATCCACGTCCACACTCCGTGCTACGGATATTCTCAGCTATTTCGTATCAAATTAAAGCGTAAGCATCCGTCAGTCTCTAACACTTTCAGAAAAGCTACCCGATCCAATATATGGATCATGGCAGTTACTGGATAACAGTCTAATACTGCTGCCTCAGTTATGTTCCCTTCTCTCCTCTGGACATCTTCCCATCCCTGTTATCAACCTTCCTCCTCTGCGATGATACCCATTTTGCAATCCGCACTCACGTCACTTTAGTATTCAGCACTCCACTATCATCAGTAGTTCCTTATCAGTCAGGCTGCTTTATGTCTATGTCTGCATTCAGATCAATCGACTGTACCTGCACGCTCTCTGGATGCGTTTACTGTTTGCCTACTCTGCGCCTCCGCACCTATTCAGCCAACCACCACTGCGGCGCTAGCTCACCTTACTATACGCCGAATTTCTCCTCCTTTTACACCCATCGAGTCATACACTGTGTGTGTAATGACGCATTTAGTTAAACGAAGTTCAAACCTGACTGTTACATAATGAAAACCGATCGCACGGTCATGCTGGTGCAAATCGTATGGGTCGTTAAGGGCACCTGGTGCTCTTGATCATGCTTTAACTGTTTGGAGATTTTGACGTGAGCCGCGTCAACTTGACTCATCACACCCTAGTGTTACTTGTGTAATTTATTTGTGTGGCGAAAGGGGCTGGAATTCCGGTTCTCAATATCAATATCTACTTTGTAGGCGACGTTACTTTTTGACACAAAAGCTTCGTCAGGCCGAGTGAACCATTGGGGGATTGGCACTTATAGCACTTATAGCAAACTTGGAAGATAATAGCGGCGACTGGAATGTGGGTAAACGGTTAATCGCTCACTTCAAGTGGTGCATAGAACCCAGCCTCAAATGCTCCGCGTTACTCGGTCATGCACGTATACCCCTACCAGTGCTGGGAGCAGGTTTGATGTGACGTTCATTCTCTGCCTCGGACCCCTCCGCCGAAGCTCTCCAGACTGGTCGGATAAAGACAGCGCTCCACATGTCCATTCTGTTCACGCAGTTGTTCACCTCGCTGCTCTCAGTCGCTTTCTGGGGTACTGATCCTCAATCCCTGCTAACGATCCCGTTATCCATGTATGCGCCTCTTGTATTCTTATGTTCTCGTGTGTATCACGACAGCCGAGGAACGAGCTTGAATACAGGGCTCTACCAAGAGATAAGCTAATGGCAATGCACGCGTTATATACAGATCATGAGATCGACTTGGCTAACGTGGAGATCGTTAGATGCGGGTTGCGATCAACATCCCAAAAACTGACCGCTGAGGCGGTTGAGAACTGAGAACTGGTGCGAAGCAGCGAGTAGAGGTTGTTCTGTGTAGCTGCATCATTCGTCGTTTTCGGACATGAACTCTTTATTTATCGTTTCGCTCTCTGTACTTTACCTCGGCAAATTGTTGGTCTAGTAGCATCTTAGATTGAGACACTGTGTTGGCTTCTACTATATGCTGAGGCAGGTCGTTCCAGACATTCACCACTCTGCGTTCGAAACAGAGTTGATGGGCGACCCGCTTCAAATCCGGGACGATAAGTTTATACCGCTGTCTTCGCGTGCAGCTTGGTGTGCGCAGATGAAGTAGTTGTCTCAACACGGGGTAATCACCCAGATGTAATATCCGGTGCGTCATGATGAGGTCAACTCTCAGCCGACGATAAGAAAGGGTGTATAACCCTAGTTTCTTACATCCGTCTTCGTATGGCATACCTCGTAAGTTGGGAATCAGCCTGGTGGCTACATGCTGCACCCGCTCAAGCTTTTCTACTTCGCCCCGGGTGATGGGACAGTATGCGGGTGCCGTACTCCAGCATTGGTCGTATTATCGAGACGAAGAGGCGAGAAGCAATCTCTTCGGACCAAGTGCTAAAGCTGCGCCTGAGAGCCCAAAGCATACGAAGGCTGTTTTGGTACAGCCTATTCGTGTTGTCAATGGACTTTAGGTCGCAGCGTGAGAGTACACCGAGGTCGCGCACGAAAGGAGCGGGATGTAACGGTTGACCAGCCACTGTGTACGTTCGGCCGTGATCACACTTACCCAACCTCATGAATTGCGACTTAGCAGGGTTGATCGGAAGGTTAACCTCTGCAGACCATGTCGAGAGGCGGTCGAGGTCCTGCTGAAGTAAATCGCAATCATTGAGTGTGCGGATTACTCTCCACACCTTCAAGTCATCTGCGAACAAAGCACAATGTGATTGTAGTAGCTGAGGCACATCGTTTATATGGACTAGAAACAATATCGGTCCCAGTACAGTGCCTTGGGGCACGCCGCTGCTCGATGGATACCAGTCAGTTAGATGGTTGTCCACCTGGACTCTCCACTTCCGATCAATAAGGAAATTTCTGATCCATTTGTGCAGCGAACCACCAACACCGCACATCCTCAGCCTGTCAAGGAGCACTGCATGGTTAACCTTGTCAAAAGCCTTACTGAAGTCAATGTAAATGACATCGATCGAATGGCCTTGGTTCATCGCTTGTAACCATTCGTGCCTCGTCAACAGTAGGTTGGTGATGCACGAGCGACCTTTCATGAAACCATGCTGTGCGGAGGTCAACAGGTTTTTCGACTCGAGAAGCTGCAGAAGGCTCTTCTTCACGATCTTGGTTGAGATTAGTAAGGTGAACAGTTGCGTGAATGGACAGGTTTGGGCTTTCGAACGTGTTGCGAGCTGTTATTCGACCAGTCTGGGGGAGCATCGGCGCACTGATCTCAGGCAGAGAATGAACATCACATAAAACTCGCACCCATCACTGGTAGGGGCTTATCTGTATTATCTTGTAACGCGAATCACCTGGGGCCGCGTTTTATGCACCACTTGAAGTGAGCCGTAACGCGATTAGCCGTTTGCCTACTTCCCAGTCGTCGCCATTATCTTCCCAGTTTGCTATAAGTGCTATACCAATCATCCACTCGGCCTGATGAAATTTTTATGCCAAAAGCGAAACGTTGCCCACAAACAATACCAATCGGTTGTTTTTAAGTCCTTCTGTAGTCATTAGTCCTCGATCGGTTCCGAGTATTTTTACAGATGTTGCATCCGTCCTTTTACTATCTCGGAAATCCACGCACATTGTCAACTGCGATCTCATCTTCATAGTGCGGGATTAACAGAGGGTAGTGTCTCACAGAGGCTTCCCAGTCAGCTGGCGCCTGCATAATCCGCATTGCTGACATTGATCCGCTGCTTGCCACTATAGTTGATCAACAAGTGCCGCAAGTAGAAACCTGTCATTTACATACTAATCGCTAGATAACTGGATTTCTCGATCTAATCTATTTCAACCGATCAATGTGCACCATCTTTTCTCATCACCGTAAGGTTTTTTGTTCGCTTAGCATGTCTTTCTCAAGCTTTCTAACTGTCGGTTTCTGGATTCAGAACTCACATGCCCTTGACTTTGCTGTTCACTGCAACTCTACAATCGTAACCTCCGCTTGATAACACATCCGATTATTTTATCCTTTTCTACACATACAGCGTCACAAAACAGGTTCAACCGATCTTCTACTCCGCCATGCCACTCACTGTTTCTCACCGATGGTATCACACAGATAAAAGCAGTGGAATTAGGCACTTTGGTTCGCGGTAATCGGTCATTGTTGTCTCACGATGAACTTTTACGTCGTCTTCGTCCGGGAGTCAAAGTCCGCCTTCGGGGTCCCCTCGTATTGCGGAAGAATGTCCTTCTGTTACCTCCTGGTGCAATCGAGACACTCAATCATCCACAGCTTCAGGTGCTCGGTGGAGAGGTACATATCATCTTTTCTCCCTTTGACAGCTTTCAATTATCTCCAAAGTTTGTTTAGTTGAGAGTTTGGATGCTCAAATTGTTAACTCGTTCGTGGCATTGATAGCCTTGCTCTTTAGGGATTTGTCCTTCCAATCTCGCGATGCAAAATTAGCTAAACAGCGTGTTTACAGCATCCCGGGAATGCCAAACACCGTTTGCGGGATCTACGTTGCGCCGTTTGGTTATTCCTGAGTGTCCTTAATATTAACGCAAAAACGCATTTCCCGTGTTGCATGTGAAATCTTCTACCTGTTGTTGTGACATGCTTGCGTCAACGTTATCTTCTGCACAATGTTTTCTTACTACAACCAACCACCAGACTGTCCATATAGCGTAAGCAATCGGGTTTCCTGGTATCTACCCCACAAATTCACTCGTAGCTGCAGAAGCAGTCTTGTCGTTTTCATCTACCTTACTCCGGGATTTTGAATTGGCAAACACATTCCCATATGGCTACGCAAATCTTTGACAATTTACTCTGCCGAAAAAATAGTAGCGTCGCTTACCGTCTGACCTCATCCGTCGCTTAAAGGTAACAAGCTTACCTTTTAATCTAAGGGTGCGGGTTTGAGCCTGCGTAGCGGCATGGCGACCCCCGCAGTATCCTAGCCCACGTGTGGCTATTGGTGATTGCGCGGCATCGGAGCGTCGATACTGCGTACCGGCGTACTGCTGGTGCCTTCTTCTATTTCTTCAGGGAGTTGACATATCAGAATGACCCAGTCGTCTGCTCTAGGCTTTAGTGAGGTTTCACTAAGTTCACACTTCGAGGTTTTGTTCAACAATGCATGGCACCGCATACGCTTCGATAACCGGTCATTTACTCAGAAAACACGCCACCCAATCGAGTGAAGCTGTTTCGATTCTCGATGAAACTCAGTACAGCCACAACCCAACACTAATTGGCGGATATCAGCATTAATTGCCTTATAGTCTTACATGACATGAGTAAGGACGCTTTGGCGCCATCAGTCGGTCATTTGTCGTCTACTATATGGCCGGCCCGCAACCTTACTGATCACAAGCTTTTTTTGGTAACCTGAGGGCCCGGTTTCGAGGCTACCTAGGGACCGAGCGACTCTCGCAGTATGCTTAGCTCACGTGTGACCGGTGGTGGTTGCGCGACAGCGAAGCGTCTACTATTTGTACATGTGGTATCAACTCTTCAATCTACGCGCTATATGGTTGCACACTCCGTCATCGATCTCTCGGCCATCATGACACCGTTTTCATCATTCACTGATGGTTTGTAGTGATACGGTCTCGACTGTTTCACTATGGATGGTGCTCGAGGAACCGATTGGCTACTCCGGGTGACTACATTTAATCATTAGGAACAGTTGAGATAACCTGGTCTTGTCAACGTGTTGCGACTACGTGAACCACCTTCATCAACTTACCCGATGTGCTTCTTGTCGCTCTAAACCGCTTTCACATTGGTGGTCTTTGCTCGGCGAACGTCCACCTGTTGGTTACTCGCAGCGGATTATGTTTATCGTCAAACGTTTCCGTTCCTCAGAACCATAAACTAGGCCAAGCGAGAAGGGATTCAGGGAATATGAGCAGGTGATAGGAAACCGGGCGTTAGAACCTAGATCCCTTTAGCCTGCACCTTATCACCACCGCAAGGCAGCTGACTCATTTGCGATGAATTTAACATGACCCATAGCTGGCGCTACTGCCGCCTGTACCGACATCTCTTGCTTGGACCGTCGATTTGAATTAGGTGTATTGCTGTCTTACGTGAGAGGTAACACAAAGAAAGGAAATTGCAACGAACTTATCCCACCGCATTGCCTTCACACAACAGCCAGGAGTTTATATGAACACCGTGGACCTCTTCACACTCTTTCCTACTACTTAGTTATGAGTCTATCTCACCGAAGAACCAACGCAAAGTAACGGTGCGTTGCTGCTGATGACATTGCTATACTTTGCTGCATCTCTGTTCCCGCGTGGTCACCGCGTTTCCATGCACAATCGATCCCAAGGATGCGGCTCTCTAAATACTAAGGCATAAATCTGGATCGGGTCACGCGACCACCAATCGGGCGACACGTGCATCGATGGGTCCAAACTTTCTCGGGATTTTCCCGCGTACGCGCACGATTCGTCAGGTTGATGAAACGGCTTTGATAGCGCCGCCATTCATGGATGGAATCAGCCAACTCCTCGGTTTACTATACAGCACTCTGTAAGCTGCAGCTCAATATTTTGCTGATTTCTCTGGATAGAACTCGAGACTTGCTGCGTTGCATTTCTCGAAATTCCCACCATTTCAGGCCCCAGTGAATTACAGAATAAAATGGCTGTATGTTAGTTTCACGGCAGAATGACTGCACTCCATGACCGGTTTCATGCGTCCTCGCACTCGAACTTCCTCTCGGGACGTAGAAGTGACCTACTGACCTCTTTGCATCTGCGCCGCCAAGTTGCAGTCAACGCTCGTTGCAGTAGAGAAAAACGGTTCACTTCATTGCGTAATATTACATGGTCGCTAGGCCAAGTGAATTGACCGCTTTTTCATGTGGATTACCTCTTGGAATGCCACCATTTTCTCTGTATGCTGGTTAATTTTGGTTCGTTACGGAACAGAGGAAGGCTCTTGCCACATATTATAAAATAACACCCCTCTGCTTCATTCAATAATTTTCCAAAGCAGTGCCATAGAAGATATTCATGTGAAATCTTGGAAACGCCTAATTTTAGGAACTGACCAATCGATTGCGTAGACTCTAAGGAAAATCAATAGCTAATTACTTGTCACATGTTCAGAAATCGGAAATCAGTGAAACAGCTAAGCAGCACGTGCCCACTCGCTTACAGTGCGTTCCTTTCTCTATTTCGAGGCAGTTTCTGACATTTTGTCTTTCCTCCCTTGTGGTCTGCGCGCATCGGAACGACTTTACCACCATGACAAACAGTTCAGCTCGGTTCGTATGTACATTGATCGACCCTTCGGGGGGGGGGGGTTCTCTCGTTTTATGAAATCATTCTTTGTTATTATTGTTTTACTTATCTTACGACCAATGTTATTGCATTACAGTGCGCAACTTGACTTAGCTCAAGCGTACCAAAAGTCAATGCTAGCCGATATGGTCGACATTTCTCGAACAAGTTAACGGCTGATCTGCTTGCAAATATTGTGCGATGTTGTGGTACGCTCAATAGTAAATCGACTTAAATCATTCAACATGTTTCCGAAGGAAACTGTTTGAATGCTGATACATGCGATTTTGATCAATTCTACATTAGTTTTCGCAGACTGTGTGCCATGATACTGGATGACATTGGTTCCCAATTTTGGCTCAATACCGTCACTTGAGACTGTATCCTAACGTGGTGAGACGGTTTATGTACCCCTCGGCCTTGATGTAGCTTCCATCGAATATGCATCCTAGGTGGCCCGACAGTTTCCTGCCCACGAAACACACCGAAAGTCCCCCTTTTGGCGTTCTTAATGATTTGGCCGTCGCATACGACAATCGTTGGCGCCCTATCTGCTACATCGAGCGGAGCGGAGTGGTATGATGAAGCTATTGCTTTGGCTTACCCTTCTTATCACCACGTTACTCTTTTTCACCCCTGTTGTCACCTTCCAACTACTATTTCATCCCCTTTGTTTTCGATCCTCCAATTCTTGACTTTCCCCAATTTCCTTTGGTGAGCGTTTGTCCTCCGTTTTCAACTCACACAAACACAGAGCGTCACACCTACCCTGTCGACAAGCGCATTTACAATCATACGGTCAGCCTAATTGCACCCGCTTCTATTTTGGGTCCTACATCCTTGCTAAGAATGACATACCACAACAGTCAGCACTTACCCGAACATTACATACCCATCGATCGATATATGCTGCTTATCGGAAACCCGCCCTCAAGACCTGAGCTCTCTGCTCACTCTTGATCCCTTAAAATGCAAAACATCGCCCAACAGAGCTTAGTGAATCTGTGAGGCACTAAAATCGCACAACGATAAGATACAGCGCTAACTACACAATCCAGCAACTCACGTGATCACGTCAACCACATTTACCGATCGGTTCACACCGGTTGTTCGTGGCCACTGCATGTGTCCCAAGCGGCCGCAATCCTGATGCTTCGAGCTGCACTCGTTATCACGAAGTTATTACAACACTACGCGGTTATCAGCGCAAATACCATTACGATGTATGCATGGGTAAAGTATTTTTGTCTATTTCCAATGACGCGGAGAGTGGTGGCTGTATTTTGTAACTGCGCGTCGTTCAACGGCTGTTACTAGACAGCGCTGTCTTTCAAACACAGTGAGCACCGATGTCCTTCAGTAGCTGACCATTTTGCTACACTGCCATAACCAACAAAGTGACATATATCACAGTTGACCACCGCTCTTTTGATGATACACATATTGGTTCCAAATATGCCATAATCTATTACCGATCTTACTTGGACGTCTCCGGGTGCTGCGGTAAACGATTCTCACGATTAGTAGCTGATAAACTATCTTGTCCCACATCTATGCAGGCTTAATTGGACGCCATGGTCGCTGATCTACCTACCTTCCATGATGATTTGAAGCTTTGTTAGCACACAAATGCTGCCGTACATGTCTCAGGAGCTTCCGTATTTGATACCGCCAGCCGCCATCGCATTGAACACCGGATGTTTTAGGAATCGGCGAACATGCTAGAATGCACTAAAATAATCCATTCAAACACATTTTGAAGGGTGTTCAGGTGCCAGATAAGGTAGGGGTAAGTAACTTCGGTGTGATAACGGGACACTGGAATTTTAGGAAACGGAGACGCGATAGAAATTTTCGCAGTCTGTTTGAACTTAATCGCTCCACTGTTCCCAACAAATCATCCGTCAATATGGCATTCGCTGATATTACTTCCTCTTAGGGTACGCCATTTCCAGACGCAGTTCACTTTGCTTCTTCTCTAGTAGACCCATTAAATTAGAACCATCTGACATGTGTAGCAGTGTCACAGTCATCAACTGTTTAATCGATTCTGATTTCAATTCTCTGTTGTCTTCGCTATGTACCAACAATGGAGACCTCCCTCCAAGTGTTGCCTCTTCCATGGTCATATGTTATTGCCATTGGTCATCCTAAACAACATAGACATCAACTTCATCAATCATCAACAACAGCAGCAGTACATCAGCCACTTGAAGTGATGCTTCGCTGCCACACAACCATGATGACCTATGAAATAAAGAATAATAAGAGCGAGAGAAGGGGGGCTTAGCGGAAAACCTTAATGCCTTGAGTAAGCATTCAGAGTTAAGGCGCTTACACCTTGTCAACGACATACCGTCACAAACAGCTGGCTATCGTGCAAAGATAAGGCGACATCGGCGGGACAGCTTCCTTGCTGTTTTCACTTCCCCGCTTCATAATTAGCCAATATCCCGCAGATAACTCAGCACAAAACACACGTTAACCAGGCAGTCCGACTAGGAGACCGCAGCAGGCACGCCACTGGTTCCGACTGTGAGCCATGTCCTCGTCTCGAGTCTGTAACGTCTCGAGTCAATCACAAGGCGTGTCAGATGGACTCCGTCTCGGAAGGCGAGACAGACCGATGGCACCCAGTTTGGTCATCAGTGACTTCATTTCCCGCTGCGAAGTCAACTTTTGTCCAACTCGAGACTTGCGCCACTATAGATTTGGTAGACTAAACAAGGCCTTCCTGGGTATGCGGTGACTGGCCATACGTAGTAAGTACCTAAGTCAGCGCAACCTATTCAGCGCTATTTGTTGTTCTAAGAATCTAGCATGGGTATTATCGCCTAGCACGGTTCTGCGCACATCATCGTTGCGGGCACGCTGGTGCCCTGGACACCGGCAATGTTCCGCAGACGGCGATGATCTTCCGACCGAAGGAGTTACGTCTCACTCCCATGGAGTAGGATGGCCCTTACTGACGCCTTCTAAACATGATCTTTCAGATGGAGGGAAACACCTTACTGTCATCAAAGATGTCGCAGATTCAAAAAGGCAGTTCTGGCTTTTGCGATACGTGAACTGACCTCAGTAGCTATACACTCATCGTTGTTGATTTAACTGCCATGGTAAATGAATCGATCAACTGCATCGATTCCCTCGCTATCTATGGTCAGGAGGTCATCAACTTGCTGGAGGTCCTGCAACAATACTTTGCACTTTGAAGGTGTATAGCGCATACCAAATAATGGGACCATTTTAGAGAGGTCGTTCTTAGTTGATTGGGCCGCCACTGCATCGTCAAAAAGCCAGACGATATCGTCCGCATTATGAAGATCAGCGAACCTTTCACCAGAGAATTCATGCACACGTACATCGTGAGATTCCGCAAGGGAACACTTTTTGGTGTAGTCCACGACGCAATTGAGCAGAAATGGGGAAATCAGACATCTGTGACCAACGCCGCTTGTTGTCATAAGGCTAATCAACAGGTCATCATATACCCTGGCGCGGCCTGTACTGTTCTAGTATAGAGCACGTAAAATGTTCACAGATTTCATGGGAACACCTTTCTGCACAAGTATTTCAAACACCATGCATCGGTTGACCTAGTTGAACACACTCTTGATGTCGGTTATCACAGCTTTGCAGTGGGAGCTGAGGTCACTGACTAGTATCTTGAGTACTGCTTTCTTGTCTTGCCTTCCACAATTTAACGCGATGCACATGGTCATTGTGCGATACCGGCTTATGACGCGTTTTCCGTTGTCTCCTAGTCGAATTGTGTGTTATTGACTTGTCTATCGTTATTTTGTTGTAAAATCTATCTGGATAGATCACGGATACCGTCTCACATTTTCCTGCATATCAGTCTTCTGTGAACGTGTGGCTTGGAAGCGAATTAGGCACCTGGAGTTACCAGGGATTCACCGAAGCCGGTGCCGTACACAAACTCACTTATACGCTGCCCGCGATGACTTCGTCATCAGCGATAGAACAGGAGGATTTTCATTGCCATCACTTTTCGGTACCGCTACTCTATATAACTAAAATGCGGCTGTAACCTGCGTGCAATCCTTGCCGAAGTTTTCCTTTGTCTTCTGCCTCTGCATGCAACGGTGGTAAATTGTGTAATAGTGTCGATGCTCGATTAAATCAATACCACACACTCGATAGCGGACTGAACGGACCGACTATTTTGTCGAGACTTGTCTGCAGTGAGTTTTTTCTCCTAAGTGAAAGGGTCAATCTTTTTGCTCTATCCTAATGGTAGGATAGTTGTCATTTCTGGATCACGGTAGATGGCTTGACTCACTGTGAGATCGGTCGCCCACCATTGTGAAGCACACTTCTACCATGCAGAGAGCAGACGACAATATGTTGTAGCAGTAGGCTGTGGTTATCTTTGTCTTCTGCGAAGCGGAGGAAATTCTTCACACTTTAAGCAGTTAATGGAAAGCGTCGGTTAACACTTTTTTGATCCGACGACTGTCTCGCTTAGTCTTATCTTAATTCGTTATATTTAAAACCATGGCTCGAGCACAATGGAAACCCCTCAGTGTAACAATGTTTACCAGTCAAATCGACTTCACTGGCGTGTGTATTCTCCCACCCCTACGCGATCTCCTAACCCCATTAAGTCCCCTTCCTAGGTTGCCATGGATCCTGCTTCAAATAAATTCACCACGATGGTTACTCTGTTTATCTGACAGCTTTCCCAGCTCCTCCTTAATTGGTTCATGATTCGTCACAAATAGTCGTCCATTTCTAATTGTGTTTTAACTTATTCTGTTTCCATTTCATTTGTTCTTTCAATCGGTGACCACTTACTGAGAAATTGCACTAGCTGGATAGTCCGATCTTTAAGCAACCATGTCTTCGTAACTTGGGAGGTGCGTTTTTATCCATATTCCCCTTCACTCTCAGTGCGTTATCGTTTCACCTTACGCTACTACACAACTAGCTCCATTTCGCATTTTTACACTTTACTATGGTCACCTTCTTCCAGGGTAAAAAGTCCTTTTTCTCCATTACAACTTTCCTACGATGAGGGCATGCCCTTTGTCATTGCTGGAGCGCTTCTTTACTTCTGATCTAGGCCGTCCAATCTGTTACGTAGCTTCCTCCTTAACTCATCTACTTTTTCTATCTACCAGAGATCTTCACACGATTGAGTCCAGTGCCCGCGAATCGCCTTTACTCTGGTTTCTACCTCATATCTGTTCTAATTTCCAGGTTGATGAGCTACTGCAGGGTGCCTCGGGCAACTTGATGTACCAGCTTGGTCTGTTGTTGGCTCGCAAGCTAAACATACCCGTTTCCGAAGGCACCCAGTTACCGTCGTGGTTTCCGAAACTGTCCACCGAGCATACTTCAGCACCCGTGTCCTCAGAGCCTTCTGCGGCAATACCTTCTGCTCAATCGGGGCAACAACCTTTGCTTCCTCCCACCGAGCAACCGTCATTGCTTCCTCCGTCATCTCATACTTCACCGGAGCCATGGGACCATGACTCAGACGCGTTACTTAAAGAGGTGGCCGACAATTTTGAGCAGCAGGCTGTCCGTTCGTTTGCTGTGGCCACCCCAATGATTCACGCGTTGGCAGGTACGTCCGCGTGACTGCATCGCATTTGTCCTCTTCGCAAGCCCACTGGTTCGGAATTTACGATCCAGTTTGTGCGTACTTACTCCGACAGCATCTCCACTTGTTCCGCGATTTACTTCGAATCGAATCTCAGTTCTTACTCTCATTGTAACCGCATTTGGAGTGCAAACGTTTTCGGCGTTGTCTACTTCGAATGCAACTGCTCGACCGCTTTGGTCCGCGTTTGATCTCTAACTAGAGTATGCAATATATGTAAACCAAAAGGCATGGAGCGACTTGTGGATGCGTAAGGTGTGCACCGAAGGAGGTTGCCTACATCCGATTTTCACAATACGGCTTGACTGAGCTCTGATTTTTGGTTGATATTGTCTGTCCGGTCATGCCTCTCTTCATGAATGGTTCAATACCCATTTGGATCTAGATTACAGGCCTTGAGAGGTTTCAGTCTGCTTTTATACTGCATGCAGACTGACCAGCTTGTAACCGCTTGTCTGAAAAAGGGCATTACGAACAATTTGCAAATGTACTGAACTGTTTTAGCTGGGCTTTGCCTTCTCCATCCCCTGTACCGTCGCCATCCATTGATATCTAGCCAATCAAACACCGATTCGTATTGCTACGGATTCCATGAATCTGACATTCAAGTCGAACTGTTGTACTTACTTCAGTCATTTCTTGGAACTGGATAACCATGGAAATTAAAAACATGACTTTCATTTTTGCCTTAAATATTATACGAAACAGTTATAAGATTTGATCATGCCGAAAAGAGTATGCATCGTAAACCTGGGAATATATATTATCCTTATATTTCTAGAAGCATCAGCATTTGATCTGGCATTCTGGTGCCCTACGCTAGATAGTCAGACAGTTTTGAATACTCTGCACAACGCATTGGAGACGATTTCACTGGACATTCTCAGTCCACCACGTTCGCCAGTGGTGGCTGCCTTTGATCCGTTACTTCCCGGAGTGTGAGCACGGGCAACGAAGCGGCATGTTTGGAGTGGCGCACTTCGCCTAAACCGGAAGTGTGCACACTGTGGCGCACACGCGCGTATGGGTGAAATATGAATCTAACCAAGATTTTCGATTGCCGTACACCATCCATTACGAATGACCATGTGGTCAGTTTGAGCCCCGGACAACCTGCAGTTCGGTGATCTTCGTTTAAGATGGCATGCGCACTTGTGCTAGCATGCTGCGCTGCCTGTGTAGGCGGTATCCATTCCTTATAAATCAAGCGACACTCTAAACTGACTTCGGAGGTGGTGTTCCGCCTCCGTCTGAATCATTCATGGCACAACAAGCACGATGCACGTGCGATTGGTTATTTGAACTAGGGAAGTAGTCTCTTCACATTAGTTTTTGAAGGATTCCGAAGGATCTTTGATGGTAACATGTTTTCAAACCATAAAATGGCGTTTTGTCTTTAGTTGCTACTCATCAGCATCCATGGAGTCCCGAGATCGGAACTCACGTGTACGACTATTCACTGTGCTAATTCTGTGCCACTGGAGATTCGGAGTATCTTCCATAATCGGGCGCCAGGTCCATTAGGCTAAGATGTATTAGAACACTGTTGCCCCGAATGCGCGTTTCTGAGACATTCAACGAAATAACTGGTCTTGTTTGTCATCCGATCTGTTACAGTGCTCAGAGGTCGATAGATCCAAGTGCTGTGGTTCTAACTCCATTGTAGGCGTGATCAAAATGAACCGCCGGTAAACAGGAGAATATGTTTGGTGACATCCGGTTTCGGATTTGCTTGTCACTGTGGCCAGCCACAGGACGCGTGCGCCTACAAAGGGACCATGGGTGGCTTGCATTGCACCACGCACAGCTCCACCGACACACGCATGTACACTGTAAACCCGAAGGAATAAGACCGGAAGGAATGCGGATAGGAGCCACATTTCATCAACGGAGGCGTCCCACACTCCTTCACAGGCAACCCAAGCACGCTGTATTTGGGAATCAATCGCACACAAGGTAGTGGCTGGACCGTAGTCCGCTCCACACTAAATGCATGGAACCACTCTTAGAGCCTAGCACGGCCGCAAGGACCGTGCACCCCGTCCCCTCCAGCAACGATTAACTGTCTCCTGGAGCCAGTATGAAGGATGTAGTGGGTAATAGACAGGTAGGCACCTTGTCAACATGCACAGTAAGCGCAACCACACCGGGGATGTCAAACAGCAGTCAATCATTTGGAACGACGATATCAACTAAAATATATTGAATAATGCATACAGATACGGAGGCATAACTCTTTACTACATGAGTATATGAAATAAATTGGTTACCAACAAATACACGATGTTAAAATTGTCAGAAAATATCTTGTAAGATGTCATAAACACGAAGTTAACTACAATCGGTTTAAGCGACGTGTGCAAGAATATAGAAGATATTTCAGGTAGACATTAATATGGGATGAAAAAACATTAGGACAATATAGCAAACCCACCACCTGAAATAAAGAGACCCAGCATGCAAGCAAACGGTTAGTAAATCGAATGCAGCGTAGCTAACAACACTGAGCCGGTTCTGCCTACGCTCTCAGCAGAACTCGTCGCCGTTTCGGTGTTGGCCCCGAGTAGCCTCGCTGATCGCTTACCAGGCCTGCCTGACTCAGGCACTCTCGACCGCAAATGGTACAGTTCCATGCGCTCGGTGTTGATGGAGTACAACCCATCGGCGCCTGTCGCTTCCGCGCCTTCCGCTTCTTCTCTGCATATACGATGGATTTCTCTTACACTTCGGCAACGGCCTTCGTGATCAAATCGCGCCATGCATACCGATCAACCGCTTTCGATTCCAATGACCTGCAATCAACGTGAGAGGCTCACTTTGATCATGTCTTGGTAACGAAGCATCGGTTTCCTCACATCCGGCTTCCCCATACTCAGCTGCCCATCTAATAGCGGCTTCGGTATCCGCGTCGAATCCATACGGCTCACATGACCGAGCCACCTCAGGTGTCTCAGCAAAAGTATGCACTCCACTGCATACAATCCACTACGGCGCAACACTTCCGTGTCCGCATCTTTGTCGCATCGACCAATGCACAGAATCCGTCGCAGACACTGTTGATGGTACCGCCAGAGATATCGCACACCCCTCCGGTACATCGTCCCCGTTTCGCTGCTGTATAGAAGGGCGGACAGCACTATGGATTTGTACACCATCAGCTTGGTGCTGCCTGTAAGCTGATGATTGTTCCACGCTCGGTACTCTAACTTCCCGAGATCCGTCGCTGCCTTCGAGACCCGGATACGAAGCTCACTTTGTAGCTGCTGGTCAGTCGACATCAAACTCCCAAGGTAGCTGAAGCGGGAGGTGGTTTCCAATACTTCAGTGCCATTGCACATTGCACCTCCGGTGAAGGCTGAAAGAGACAGACAGTTTTGCTTGTGTTGATGGTGAGCCGGAATTTGGCCGCTGTCTAAGCCAGAGCACTAGTCATTTGCTGCAACTCATCCGCGCTGTGTGCAAACAACGCATATTCGTCAGCGAACAGCAACATATGGATAGTTGTCTCAGATTACTCGCACCGAAACGACGGATGTAAAGCAACCCACCATCAATACGGTGCTCCACACGAGCACCGTAAGCACAAGCGGCATCAAAAGCACAAGACATCATGGCATGAAGATAAATATTAAACAGGACAGGAGCTAAGACACAGCCTTGCTTCACACTAGTGATGACTGCAAAGTCATCCTTGGGCTGTCCAATCAGCTGCACCCTCGATTGGCTTCCATTGCGCAGACATTCAGTTAAACTTACCAAATTAATCCGTCATGCAAACCCACCGAACACCAGTCACGATGCCTCACGCTTCACCGTATCAAATGCTTTGGCAAATTCAACAAACAGGCGAGTACAACGGCCGGTGTCTGCACTTCTCCTGCAACCCGCGAGCTGCAAACACCATATCGATGATGCTGCGACACGATCGTACCCATATTGCTCTTACGCGACGTTAGGTTCCACAACCTGACTGACGAGGCGGTTGGCAGTATTCGGGCAATCAGCTTGCTCACACAACTCAGCAAGTTGATACCACGATAATCAGTGGCACATTGCCTACTTACTTTGCCCATGTACATAAGGAGCACAAGCGTACCCTTCCGCTCCCGAGGCATCTCAGTCCACATGCGTTACACCAAGTGGTACAGCGCAGTCACCAACGCGGGTCTGCTGTGTTTCAATACTTCAGGAGGGATCCCGTGGGCACCGGTACACTTGGCGTTTCGCAGCTGAGCAAGTGCTCTCTGCGTCTCATCCAATGTCCGCGTGTCTTCCAGACTTATCTTCACATCGTACTGCTTGAGGCCGTTCAATGTAGGTCACTCCATCTCTGAATGGTTGTTCAAGAGACGGTCAATGTGTTTTCGCCAAATCTGCATTATGTCTGCAGTCTTTGTGTACGCAGCGCCTGAACTACCATCGATTGGCCTCTTCAGCGGCTTCAACCTCGGTCCATACACTGCCTTCAAGGAGTCAAGGATTTCCTCGTCTTGGCGGCGTTCGGCGTAACAGTTCATCTGCTTCTCCTCCTCCGTCCACTATGCATGTTTTATGCGACGGAGCTTTCGAGATAATCGCGAAACTGAGTATTCTTCCTCAAGTCACTGGTGTCTGCGACAAGGGCAGCAAACGGTGCATTCTTCTCACACACCAATACGCCAATCATCGTATTGTGCTCATCAAACCAATCGAGCGGCTTGCAACTTGCGCGCCCGATGGTCTCCTCGGCAGCAGCTGTCACCTGGTCGCGAATGTGGTGCCACAGGTCGCCCACTGTGGTTATGCTTTCCACATCACACAGGCGTGCAGCCATCACTTTCTCCAGCTCAATACGTTCCGCCACAGTGCCGAGGGAGAGAATGTTAAATCTACGCCTTTTCACAGCGGGAGTACAATGCATAGATTTACGAAAATATATGTACAGTTTGGTCCCCACCAATTTGTGATCAGTGCCACACTCGGCTCCACGCAGTACACGTATCATGCGCACTTCACGCATGTCACGCCGACCTACGATGACATAATCGAGCAGGTGAGCATGACCATTCCGTGGGTGCATCCAAATTGCTATATCATTCGCACTCAGTGCAAACCGAGTGTTCGTGATTGTCAAGCCGTGAGTGGCACCCAGTGAGAACAGCCTGTCACCGTTTGCATTCGCTGAACCAATGCCATGCGCACCGATGACATCAGTCCACACCGGTGCATCACACCAAACGCGCGTGTTGAAACCACCCAGCAGAAATAGTCGGTCGCTCCTCGGCACAGATCGTATCACGGAGGATAGCTGATTGTAGAATTGATCACGCGTGTCATCGGGGTAACACATGGTCGGACCGTACGTGCGTATAAAGGTGGCAAACTTAGCTCCTCCAAGTCTTAGACGAACAGTCATCAGTCGCTCGCTGATGCCTGTTGGTTCACCTACGAGTTGGCCATGGAGGCGATCGGATATTGCAAATCCGACCCCATGTTCACGTAGTGCAGAGGCGGCGTTGTCCACCAAGTAGAATGTGTAGCCAGCACCTGCTTCATGCAAATTACCTAGCTCAGCTAGCCGCGTTTCACTGAGCGCCGCAATATCGATGTGGTAGCGCGCCAGTTCCTCCGCGACCAGTTCACAGCGTTGCTCGGGGCGATCACTGCAGTTCCGATCCAGTAGTGTGCGTACGTTCCAGCACCCGATGTTGAGTGCATTGCGCGTAGGCATACGATTGCATTGTTGGGCAATCGCATGCGAGGTGGCGGTTGTGCTTCTGTGGTTAGCTCGAGGGACTGCGCCCGGAGCCTTTGGCTCAATAGCCTGACCCACAAGACAGTGAGGATCAGATCCAGCTCGGGAATGTGATTGCAGAGACAGATTTGGATCCTCTTGTGGTCCGTCACACGCAGACTTTGACGTACTGGAACGATTTATATATGTTTCGCGACCGTAGTACGATACGCACCTGCGACCACGGTTAGGCACAGGTGGGTTTTGACGGGTTTACACCAATTTCACTAGTGGCTGCCTGGCTTGAGGTGGGCAGTAACAAACCACTCGGAGGTGCCCTCTCACCGTCAGAAACAGTGCGTGGCGCTCGTGTTCTACGTCAATCGAGGTGTGAGCTTATAACCCGTAGACCTGTTCTCTCCCATGGCTAGGTTTTACAGGAAGATGGCCATCCTCCGAAGAGGATGAAACTCGGGAATAACACACGTGAAAAAATAAGGTAACGTCCCCATTAATCGTTCATCTTCTCTCGGCTATGTTCTTTTTTTCCAACACGAGAATGACACGATGAAAGAGGACATAGACGAGATAAGGTGGACGATTACTGGGAACCTTGTCTTTACGCCATGTGCTATCCTTCCACCTGCTTATCCCGTGACACTTTTTGTTCGATGATACTATCGTTTAGCTCAACTGTCCCAATCGCAAACAGCTGGATAGATGGATGCGTATTTCAGGGTTTCCTTAAAGCCTTTACCTCAATAGTCTGACTCACAACACAATTGGGTGCATGTCCAGCCCGGGAATGTGATTGGAGTTTCCATTTTAGATGCGGTTGGGGTTGAATGCACACAACCTTTTGGAGAATTCCAATGGTTTACCTGTTTTTCCATCAGGTTTACCAAAAACTGCGTGTTAGTAGTGGGTCTTCTTTTTTCACTAAGAGTTACCTGATGGTAGCACACTTGGATACTGGTACTTTTCGGCAATGGAGATGTGGTCACAACCCGTAACTGTTTTTTCTCCTCATCATATGCGTAACTTGTTGAAAGTTGGTGTATCTGACTCATTCACCTGTGTATTATGAGTGATTCCTTAAGCACTTGTGGGCGTCACCCAGCGTGACTATATGGACTACCTAATGTATACAACACGACATGGTTTAGACTCGTTGCGGGGCAGCCTGTGTGTCACGCTTCACTACCCATTTCTACCACCCGTGGCAACTATTTGTGTCCAATCTGCTTGTTACCTCTCATGCTTCTCCATCAATTAGCGTTTGAAAGATACTGAGTCTCATTATTTTTGGTACGCTTTATCATTGATCCTTGAATTTTGGTTCCGAAGAACACAGTTGTTTATTGTGAGGATCTTTATGTATTTCGTGCCTCACACCGCCCATTTTCCCAGGATTCGTTTGATTCTAGCCATATATCGTGTGATTATTATGCTACCGTGGGCCCACTTGATTGGCTACTGCCATCACTGGACCGCATTAATTATATTTCATTTTATCGCATGGTAAACCGTCATTTTCATCTTGTGCCACATGTGACGTCTCGTCACCCCAACATCCACCGTTTCAATTCAACTAGGTATGGTTCCCAATAGGCCTGTGGCCGAAGTAGCACCAGTCGGTCAAGTAAAACATTCGGATTCCTTTGATGACTTGTATAATTTATCAGCTGAAGTTGACCCTGACGTATTGGCCAGCGCATTTGATGATCTGGCGAATGAGGACATGATGAGCAGAGCACAGGCAGCCCGGAATGATACACATTCGTGTTTTGTCTCTGCATCCTCTTTCGTGGCTAAACGCGACAACGTTGTGGTGGCCACGTCAACTGCGCCTTCTAAACCTTGTGGTAACCATCCCAAAGTAGGGGGTTTACGCCAAGCTCTTTTAACAGCAACCTCGCTAACTGCTCCGCTATCTCCGCCTCCAACAGAAAAGTCCGTTTTATCTGCAGCCGAAAGTGTAGCAGAAACTTTGTCGGGAGCACCATCCTTACCTGCTCCACCCAGTGCAGCCGCATCAGCGAAGCACGCGTTACCGGCGGATTCGGATGACCTGCTTCCACCACTGGTGAAACGTAAGCCATGGGTGAACAAAACCAACATCAATGATGGCACCATCGTGGGATTTTCGGCAACCAGCTCTTCGATTTCGAGCACGTCTGGAACAGCCACCTCTACTGTGGATTATCGATTCCATCCTTTCTGTTATATCGAGGTAAGGGCTTTCATCGAACCTTCTACATACATATGTCTATAAGTTTAAACGGCCACAATATGACGTGCGACAGCTTTTTGCATTTCTTCGCTCGTGTACAACCTTAACACCCCGTATCCTGGCCCATGCTCCCGGCTGGTTTGTTTACCGTAGCGATAACCTCCTACTAAAGGTGCATGCCAACTAGATTGGGATATCGATTTCCAGTTTTTAACCACGCGTAAATTATGCACTATCATTCCACTTGTGAAGACTGTCACTGAAGACCTCTCAGCATCATCCGTGTTTCAGTAAATTCTAACTAAGTGACCGGAATGATCTTTTTAGCATCTGTTGTACCATATCAAGAGAATAGGGTGATGGCATTGTGAGGCGTCTGCTAGTGTAACTCTGCCTTCACCTAGTTGCCTGTACACTGACTGATTTTCGGGGATTGCCGAGTGACTGCGAAGACTGCTGACAGCAGTGGAACCTTGATAACAAGTGATTCCTCTAGCACCGTTTCATTTGTCATTTGAAGAGGAAGCTTCATCCACATTGCCTACCCCAATGAATCTTCAAGCGGAATGGAACTCCGGGCTTTCGGTTTTTCTCACTCTTCACGATGTATTCTGTGACCGCTTTCATCCTTTACCAGATTCTTGCGATAGTCCGAGCTGGCACTGAAACCTAGGAAGTAGTGGCCGACACCTTGGTCACTGTACTGCGCAAAGTGCTCAACTTAGGGTGCTAGAACGTGTGCACACTGTCCGACCGGAATACGAATGAGCGTCCCGAGCCACGCATTGCACTAATGCGATGCAACACGCGCGCTACGTGATCTATATTATCACACTCAGCGAGACTTGTCTCGCTGACCAAGGCAAGCTGCATGAGGCTGGTGCTACTTACACGTTCTACCGGGTGAGGAACGCCACCTCAACACCACTTGAACATTGGGTCGGATTTACACTGTCCGACCGCCTCACTGGCCATCTGGTGGCAGGGCCGACCGACATCAGCTCACGATTGATGTCACTTGGAAGAGGTAGCTTTATAACATTTCTTGGCACGTAGGGTTCCACCATGTGTCATTCTGATGACAAGGTCAGTTTTACGTTCTGTTATCATCCGTCATACGGTCTGCCCCGAATAGCGACCGACTACTCCCACTGGGTGCCTACAACGCGCGCATTGGGCGTGATGCAGCAGTATGGACAGACATAATCGCTCCCTTTGGTACTACCACGGCTAATGAGAACGGTGACCGGCTGCTCTCACTGTGCGCCACTCACGGCTTAACGATCAGTAACACACAGTTTGCACTGTGCGAGTGATATAGCTACCTGCACCTACCCATGGAGTGGTCGCGCTCACTTGCCCGACTATGTCATCGTACGCCAGCGTGACATGCGTGAAGTGCGCATGACACTTGTACTGCGTGGTGATGAGTGTGGCACTGATCACAACTCGGCGCGGACCAAACTGTACGTATTTTTCGTAAATCCATATATTGCTCATCTTCCGTGAACTGGCGCAAATTTAATATTCTTTTCCTATGCGCTATCGAAAAGATGATGGAGTTGCAGAAGGCGAAGGCTACCCACCTTGGCGACCTGTGGCACCATAGCTGTGAAACGGTGACCGCTACTGCCGATGAAACGATCGAGTGTATAAACTGTAAGCGGCTTGATTTGTTTGGTGACAACAGTGCGACCATTGGTGCATTGGTTTCTGAGAAGAATGCATGGTTCATTGCGTATTTGCGTTACCCTACTGATACAAACTTCGACCGCAATTTTCTCGAGAGCTCCGTCGCATAAAATATGCATGGTGGACGGAGAAAGCGAAGCAGATGGAATTCTATGCCGAACGCCGCCAACATAAGTTCTTTGGCTCCTTGAAGGCGATGTGTAAACCCACGTTACAGGCGTTGAGGACGCTGGTTGATGATACTTTAGATTTTAACCTACACACAGACTGCAGACGTAATGCAGATCTGGCGAACGCACTTTTACTGTCTCGAACAATTGTTCAGAGTTCGACTGGCCTACCTTGGGCGGGCTGCAACAGCAAGAGGCGAAGATGCGCCTTGCCGATATATTCACACTGGATGAGACGCAGAGAGCACTTAGCTGCGAAACGGCAAATGTACACTCGCCGACGGAATCCGGCCTGAAGTATTGAAATACGGCGGAACCGCGTTGGTAAATCCGCTACGCCACTTGGTGCTGTGATGGTGGCTGAAACCTGGGGCGAATGGTATCGTCACGGTAACCATGAATTGGGGGCCGATCAGACGAAGACGGAACGCGCACGACAGGTCGGGTTCAGCTCACAAGAGGAACAGCATGATTTGCGGCATCTAAGACGCGGATTGGTCAGCAGTATGGCGAGTGGGCAGCTCACGCCGGAATCCAGTTTAACGACACACCGCTGTGTCAGCTTGCCAGCAGGAAAAGCATCAACCTAATAGACCAATGGCCATTCAGACGCCACCATGCAGTCTATCGGCGATGACAACAACGCACCGGCCGGTCGATGGTGCAGCTGAGTGGACGGACCTCGGTGACTGCAGTTGTCTCTGGTGTAAGACTGTGTCCTAACCACTTCACTGTTTAATATTTACATGTAATGATGTCTTGTACTTTTGATGCAGATTGTGTGTACGGGGTCTGTGTGGAGCGCCGTATTGATGGTGGGTTGCTGAACATCTGTGGTTTCTGGGCTGGTGCTGGTTGCCGACGGTTGTGTATTGTTTGCACAGAGCGTGGATGAGTTGCAGCACATCACTTCGGCTCTCCCTTCGATAGCGGCCAGTCTCTGACTCACCATCAACGCAGGTGTCTTTTCTAGCCTTCATTATCGAATGGGGTCCATGGGCTTGCCCGAAATCCACTTTGCCAATGACGTGTTAGAAACAGCATCGTAATTATATTAACTTGAGAACGCAATAGCAACTGAACTGCACATGACCAGCGAGCTGTGTAGGCGCGTATCAAAGGCGGATGCTGGCTTGGAAACCTGGAGAAGCGTGTGTGAGACATCTACCAGCTTACCGTTGGAACGGAGCTGTTGCTATACCAGTCTATGGTGTTGTCCGTTGTTCTATACTGTAGCGTTTTGGGTTTCTTGCGTTTCAAGGATTAGCTGTTAATTGATATCCCTGATATGGATGTGCTTGATGTGAATGTTGACAACAGTTAAACACCCTCCACCTGGATTTCTGGTTCCAGGAAACTGAGTCGTTGCTGATGGTGACGGGGTGCACGGTCCTCGTGACGGTGCATGGCTCGTGGTTCCATGTACTCAGTGGGGAACGGGCTACGGCCCAGCCACCGCCTTGCGTACGTCTATTACGCGTGATTTTCCGAATAAGCATGAATGTTTCTGCTCTGCCTATGAAGGAGTGTGGGCCGGCTCCTTTGATGAAACGTGGCTCCTATCCACATACCTCCCAGTCCCATTCCTTCTGGTGTGTGAATGGAGCTGTGGGTGGTGTAGCGCAAATCACCTAGCCGCAAGCGTCCTGTGGCTGGCCACAGTGGCGGCCGCAGTGACAGGCAAATCCGGAACCGGATACCGCTAACCCTATGTACGACCAAAATACGTGGCTCGGAGAACATCTGCTCCATCGTGCTTACTCCAGTCTGCTTGTACTGTCCGCGCTTTTGATTATGTCGCCAGCGCATCCCAACTCGCGAGGTCATCTCCTTAGTGGAAGCTCAACTCCACTGTCCTCTTATTTGTCCTGGGCTCTTTCTTGGATATCATCCATACCAGAGTTGGCTAGAGAGATGGATGCTGGCTAGACGTTTTTCACTACGCTAGTGACAGAGATTGTTGGCGCAAGACCGCCATATGCCTGCACGCGAAAGTTTTTTTTTTAAAATAAATGGCTTGTGCCTGTTAACCTGTTTCTTGAGCACATTGCTTTTCACTTGACCATTCCAGAGAGGGTCTCTGTCAGCCGAATCTCCCACACGACTCGTATATCTACGAAGCGACCCTAAGTCATTCGGCAGATTGTGAACACCTGATAAATACAGCTCCAATCTGAGCACACTTTGAACCGTTCGTTACTTATCTTTACGATGCACCAATCGAGGCAACAGCTAGCCGCATGGTTAGGAACTATGCGTATAATCGAGTCGCTTATTATATGCCAGAGAAAATTGCATTATCAGTGAAAACGATCATCCAATCAAAATGACGATTTACATCTGCGCGCTCACTGAACAACCTCGGAAGATTCATATCATTCGTGTGGCGCCTCCACGTAGATTCGGATTTTCTGAAACGATTTGGAACCACTAACTTTAGCAGCCGGTGTAGCTGCTTCACGGTTGGGTTTTCAGTTTATTTTTCCGTCTATCGTGTTGCTGTAGCCATTCTATCGAACCGCTTTTTTGGCATGGCTATTGATTTTTAATTCTAGTTTGGGTTAAAAGTTTGCGAGGGACGAGCTGAGTTATAACAAAAACTGCAGAGAATTTGGACGAAGTAACACAGCACACGAACCTGTGTACTTCACTTTTTTCTTCGATTCTCCTAACGCTGCCATATTTTTTGAACCGTAATGTCTCTGCTGCTGATCGCTCTATATATATATATATATATATATATATATATATATATATATATATATATATATATATATATACTAGGCTGCTACACCACACCATTCAGCCACTGAATCATTACTTGCAGATATGCTAATTACAGACCCAACTGTACCACTTTCCACCTCTCGTGAATCTGGCAATGAAGGCAATTTGTCCATGCGAATTGTTGGCTCCCCATGGCGCGGCAGCTGTGCCGACTAAACTGTGTCTCATTAGTTCCTTTAACTTCACCTTTTCATACTCCTCTGAGTGGTATTACGCATCATGCCAATTGTGTGTCGGTTGATGACCTTCTCCCTATGGGTTTGTCGCACCGCTCTGCGTTCATGTCAAGTACACCATCGTGTAGACCGTTTTATCCTTTTTTCTACTTCAACATTCACCACTTTCAACAAA